AAGGAGAGAAGAGAAGACGGAAATGCTGCTTTTGGCATGTTGCAGGTGTGAGATGCAGTTATTAGAACAAGTCTTTTTAGGGGGGTCATATGCTGTTTCTTTTAGGGGGTCGAGTGTTAGCGGGAGAGAGAAGGAGAGAAGTGAAGACGGAAATGCTGCGTTTAGCACGTTGCAGGTTTGAGGCAGTTATTAGAACAAGTCTTTTAGGGGGGTCGTATGCATGTTTTCTCAGCACATGAGGACAGTGCTGTCTTCTTTTAGAGGGGTCGATTGTAATATTCAGAAATTTCAGTGCGATTTAGATACGCGCGCCATATTGGCGATACTGAGTCTTCAAGGTCGACTGAGGGAGGACAGCGCTCCCGCACATAGCGAGAGCTTCTGCAACTAGGCCTATGAGATATTTAATGTAATTTACCGAATTAATATGGACGCGAATCATGAAATTAAATGACATTATTAAATTTGAAATTATTATAGATCGTTTCTCAGTCTAAATATGTTACATGTGTCCCAACGAAGCTATTAGTTATGCGGGAAAATATGTCACTAGGCCCAAGCTACAGCCTTGGGAAAGCACGAGGCTGGCGGTTTCTCAGTCAGATGACAGCGTTCGAACAGAGAGGATGGTCTGTGCGTCAGACAGAACAAAACGGTCACGTGGTCTAGTCTCCTGTGTTGCGACTTGGCAGTATAACAAGTAAGTCTCATTCGACCTCAGACAGGGTTTAGATAAGATGGTGATAGAAGTTAATAATAACTAACAGAGAGTTCATTGCAGGGTTTTCGTCAGAACCCACTTGACTGCGAGTGATGACTGCATTTGATGACTGCCGTTTGAGACTGCCATTGATGATTGATGATTAGCGACTGTCACAGTTGGAACGATCAGTGCAGGCTTGTCACTGGTTGCTGGGTTAGCAAGGTATCTCTGCAGTGAAACCAGCTGTTTGGGTGCACAACTAATGACGTGGGACCATCATCTGCCCTTGGTTGACGATGATCTGGGGTCGCCAGATCTCTTCTACCTCGGCTGATAATATCACATATTTTCAAGCAGTTAATGAAAACCTTTTACTACGGGAAGCTAAAGCTTCTCTCAACTGAACAAGGTCTGATTGGCTCCTTCCCTTCCGTTTCATGGATGTACTGAGTGTAAAATGAGGCCAGCTGAGTGAATGAATGGTCACACACTGAGACCAGGAGTCTAGTGGAACTTAGAGGTACATTTTCCAAGGTTGAGAAAGGCTTGTTTGGGCCTTAAACTACGGGTGCCTGTTGGTTGTGCCTTAAAAAACTACGAGTGAAATGTGGAATGTATGTGTTAGGTTAAGAAGCATGTTTTATGGGTATTGGTGGTATCAGTATCTTCTTAATATAGTGATAATATTTTTTCAGTGACTGATATTGTCTTGCTGTGTGTAGTTAATACTATTTTTTCAGTTACTGATATTGTCTTGCTGTGTGAAGGTAATATTTCTTAAATAATTTTGATAGTATTGTCTTTTAATGTTTGTGTCACTAATTGATGCCAGAGAATGAGGGAACTGTTTTTCAGATGAGGTTCCTCTCTTCTGTTGTAAGTGATACTGTGATTTAGTTCCTTAAATGCAGTTAATATTTCTTTTTAATTTCTATTTTTTATACTATTTCCTCAGTGAGTGATATCGTTTTGTTGAAAGCCCTTAAGGCCTGTCCATGTGTGCATACAACATATTCTTAATACTTTGAATTTATTGTTGTCTAATGAGGCATTTTCTGAGTTTCTAATAATTTCAATATCATGTATAACTTTTATTCCCAAGAGTAGTGTTTTAAGTTCAGGTTAAGAGGTGCTCATATGTAGGTGTATCATTATTTGATTGTGTCTGTAGTGTTGGAGGGAATAGAAGTGTCTAAATTTTACAGTGCGTCTCATTTACCCCAATCACAGATGCTATCCTTCCACGGGTCACGGAGAATTCATTTTTGTTAGTAAATTTAAGTGTTTTGTGCTGGTTCGGGTTTTTTCTCCAAGGGACGCTTCCACCGCATTTTCCATCTAATAATATTTAATAAACCCCCTAGTCAAGTGAGAAATTATTTCCATTAATTCCGACCGGTTACATAAATAGGCTATATATATTAGTTCTTGAGTTGATAAGTAGCAGGGCTGAAGTAAACACTTTGTTGGTTTTGCTTTATTATAGAAAAATATAGATTCACAGGTTCTGAGTTCAGTTGAGAATATATTGTACCTTCTCTGCTAAGGGAAGTGTCTTGGTGCACTTATAGTAGAACACTTAAGTGGGTAACAAGTGATATGAGTCTCCTGTCACTGACCCAGGGAGGGAGAGTGAAGAAGCCTCGAAAAGGAAACGCGTCAGATAGGTTGTTGCTGACATGCGCTGACCTCAGCCTGTCTTCACTCACTCCTGGAAGGAACTGTCACCTCAGCAATGCATAACATCAACAACTCAGTCATGGTTGAATAACTTAGTGAATAACTACTGAGTCATTGTTGAATAACTTAGTGAATAATTTGGTATTATACATTTGGGTAAATATATATATAATACAAATGGTGCTGTTACACCGCTCGGCTACCTCCAACCGAGACCTCACGGTTTAAAACCTAGATGTACCTAACCTTGTTACAAAAAGGTGTGCTTTAGCCAAGGCCGCAGCTTCCATTAGGCGAGGTTAGCAAATGTTAAGGGCGCCAAAGATGCTAAGGGCGCCAACACATACAGTGTCACCACCACAGCTCCATTCTTCGCAGCCAACAGATACAGTGTCACCACCACAGTTCCATTCTTCGCAGCCAACAGATACAGTGTCACCACCACAGCTCTATTCTTCACAGCCAACAGATACAGTGTCACCACCACAGCTCCATTCTTCACAGCCAACACATACAGTGTCACCACCACAGCTCCATTCTTCGCAGCCAACAGATACAGTGTCACCACCACAGCTCCATTCTTCGCAGCCAACAGATACAGTGTCACCACCACAGCTCTATTCTTCACAGCCAACAGATACAGTGTCACCACCACAGCTCCATTCTTCACAGCCAGCAGATACAGTGTCACCACCACAGCTCTATTCTTCACAGCCAACAGATACAGTGTCACCACCACAGCTCCATTCTTCACAGCCAACAGACAGTGTCACCACCACAGCTCCATTCTTCACAGCCAACAGATACAGTCACCACAGCTCCATTCTTCACAGCCAACAGATGCAGTGTCACCACCACAGCTCCATTCTTCACAGCCAACAGATACAGTGTCACCACCACAGCTCCATTCTTCACAGCCAACAGATACAGTGTCACCACCACAGCTCCATTCTTCACAGCCAACAGATACAGTGTCACCACCACAGCTCCATTCTTCACAGCCAACAGATACAGTGTCACCACCACAGCTCCATTCTTCACAGCCAACAGATACAGTGTCACCACCACAGCTCCATTCTTCACAGCCAACAGATACAGTGTCACCACCACAGCTCCATTCTTCACAGCCAACAGATACAGTGTCACCACCACAGCTCCATTCTTCACAGCCAACAGACACAGTACCACCACAGCTCTATTCTTCTGACCAACAGATACAGTGTCACCACCACAGCTCTATTCTTCACAGCCAACAGATACAGTGTCACCACCACAGCTCCATTCTTCACAGCCAACAGATACAGTGTCACCACCACAGCTCCATTCTTCACAGCCAACAGATACAGTGTCACCACCACAGCTCCATTCTTCACAGCCAACAGATACAGTGTCACCACCACAGCTCTATTCTTCACAGCCAACAGATACAGTGTCACCACCACAGCTCCATTCTTCACAGCCAACAGATACAGTGTCACCACCACAGCTCCATTCTTCACAGCCAACAAATACAGTGTCACCACCACAGCTCCATTCTTCACAGCCAACAGATACAGTGTCACCACCACAGCTCCATTCTTCACAGCCAACAGACACAGTGTCACCACCACAGCTCGAATGTGCTGCATCCAGGGCTGCACCTGTTGACCCCACTGACTGGCCATCCTGAATGTCCAAACAGGAAAAAGCAGAACTTGTTCGCAGAGGACCTTACCAGATTGATCCTAATTATGTGTTTCCAAAAAAGGATGGGAGAAGATGTCAACATGATTACTTTCGCCGAATCTTAGTAAATGGAGAGAAGATCCAAAGAAGTTGGCTAATTTATTTGGTGAAACAGGATAAACTTTTTTGCTTCTGCTGTAAAATGTTTTCTACGAAACATGTTAGAATGGCTGAAGAAGGCATCAATGATTGGAAAAATGCCAGTCATTTTCTCAGCACACATGAAAGTAGCATAGAACACACTTAAAACATGACAACATGGAAGGAACTGGAGGTCAACATTGCAAGAGGAAGGACGATAGACCGACGGGAAATGGAAATGTTAATGGCTGAGTGGAACAGATGGCGCCAAGTCCTCACTAGACTAGTGGCGATTATTCAGTCTCTAGCTGAAAGAAATTTGGCTCTAAGAGGGTCAACCGAAAGCTTAACTGTCCATCCAATGGTAATTTTCTCCAAGAAGTGGAACTTTTGGCTAAATTTGATCCAGTTATGAAGAATCATTTAAGTAGGGTTGAAAGTAATGCAGGCAATCACAGTCACACTCACTACCTTGGCCAAATGATCCAAAATGAACTGATTAACATTATCAGTGCAAAGATTACTGAAAGAATCGTGGACGATATCAAAGCATCGAAATACTTCTCTATTATTTTATACTGCACCCCTGATTTGAGTCACAAAGAGCAACTTTCTGTCATAATCAGGATAGTGGCACTTGAAGACAAACCATCAATAAAGGAGCATTTCTTGGGGTTCCTTGAGGTAGAGAAGTCTACAGGGCTAAATTTGTCATGCCTTCTACTCGGAAGACTGAAACAATTGAACATTTCTTTTGAGGATTGTCGAGGTCAATCTTACGACAATGCAGCAAATATGAGAGGAAACATCAATGGAGTTCAATCCAGGTCTTCTTCAACAGAATTCTCTGGCCTTATTTGTCTTGTGTGGTGCCCATAATTTGAATTTGATATTAGCTGACGCTGCCAAGGGCTCCCTAGATGCAACTTGTTACTTCGGATATTTAACGAAAGTATTCACATTGTTTTCAGTCTCTCCTCAGAGGTGGCAAGTTCTTATAAAACATGTCAGTATTTCTCTGAAATCGTGGTCAGACGTCAGATGGGAAAGACGAGTAAAAAATGTGGAGGCAATTAGATATCAACCTGCACAAATCAGAGAAGCGCTTTTGAAACTCAGAGAATGTGCAACTGACCCTGTCATCAAAGTTGAGATTCAATCGTTGGCAGAGGAAGTAGGGTCATACCGTTTTGTCATTTGCTCAATTGTGTGGTATGATATACTCAGCAAAATTCAGCACGTGAGCAAACTAAAGCAGTCGATTACGATGCAGCTCGGCGTGGCTGTAGATCTGCTAAAGAAGACCAGAGATCATATTGTCAGCTACAGAAATACAGGTTTTGCTGATGCACTAACTACTGCTAAAGAAATCTGTGAAGCGATGAACGTAGACACCGTGCTGAAACAGAAGAGACTAAAAACTAAAAAATGCCACTTTAGCTATAAGTGTGCAGACGAACCTGTCAGCGATGCACTCAAGAGGATGGACACTACATTTTTCAATGTGGTAATGGACACTGCGATTTCCTCTCTTAATGAGAGGTTCAAGACCTTGGGCGAGGTGAATGGAAAGTTCAAGGTATTGTTAGGGTTCACGGACATGTCTGACAAAGACATCGTCGATCACTGCCAAACCCTCAACAACACGCTTACTCATGAGGGACACTCAGACATTGATGGAAGGGAACTGGCCATGGAGCTGCAGAGTGTCCCAGATTTGCCTTCCAAGAGAAGACAACAATGGATTTTCTCACCTTCCTGCATGAAAAGAAACTTACTGAAGTATTCCCGAACTTGTGGGTAGCTCTGCGGATCTGTGCAACTCTCCCTGTAACGGTGTCGGCAGCAGAGCGGAGCTTTTCTAAGTTAAAACTGATAAAAATTTATTTGCGATCCACAATGGCGCACGAACGTCTTAGTGGGCTGGCCATCATCCGTGTGAACCATGCAGTGTCTAGGAAGTTATCGTATGGCGATGTAATCGACGAATTCGCTTCCAGGAAGTCAATAAGAGTCAAGTTATAACTGTTATAAGCAGGCACGTAGCGAAGAGGAGAAAACGGTGGATTCCAGAATGTCATGACATATGTAATTGAATTGCTTATTGTTTAAATACAATGATAGTTTGATTTTGAGTGTTTTTTACAGTCACTTTTCATGCCATTATTTTATGTTGCTTGTATTGTGCTTTTCTTTGGATATTCCACAGTTTAAGAGGATTTGCTAATTAATGTATGTATTAGCAAATTAAAATAGATCAGTGTAAGGTAGACAGTTTCTTCAATATGGTACCTTGATTACTTTGTGGGTAAACCCAATCGTGAAGTGGGAGGCGGGTGGGGGCGCCAGCTGCAGTCCTGCCAAGGGCGCCAAATAGGCTGGCGCCGGCCCTGGCTTTAGCTAAACTTTTTCGTCGTACATATGCTTTTGCAATTCCTTCCGAAAAGTCTTCTTAGAAACTATTGTGTACCTAGAAGAAATCTTCCTGTAACAAATTATCATAACAATCAAGGAACTGATAAATATGATGGTAGGTATAATAAAACCAGGTAGGATTATACCGGAAGATAAATATAAAGGAAGAAATTCCTGTAAGTCAGGAAACTGTGTCTCATTAATATAAGACAGGAGGTTAAGCTTATCAGAAACAATATGGAGATTACTGAAACTTATATTTAAGGGAAATGGTATGGGAATCAGCTCAGAAATAATATTTGTGACAAATGCAAGATGATGGCGACTGGGCAATAGGGTGTATTGCAGGAGGAAGACTAGCTAAACCACGGGCTCACTACTTTTTTGGTAGATTTTAGTGTATAAAAACAGAAAATAATTTCAGTTTTAATATTTTGCAACCTTTTGCTAGGTAAATTTTAGCGTGAAATTTATCAAAAATCTAACGTACAGCTGCATTAGTGCATTACAATTAAATAGTGAACATTGCTTTCTGACTTCATTCTTTAACAACCCAACTAACAATATTTTTTTCTGTTTCAGATTCTGATGCATTTATAAGTTGATAATATTTGCGATGGCTGCTTGTGTCAGGACGAGGAACCAAAATCCAGCCATCTCAGTCACTATCTTGGGTCTGGGAGAGAGCTCCTGAAGTCGGAGTTGCCCACATTGAGAGATGCTTTGAGATACGGTGTTTTAATCAGGCAACTCAGTGAAAAGAACCAAAGAACTTACACAAACAAAGACATTGCCAGTGATATGACCAAAGCTGTCTTGGCACAGTACACTGGCTAACGCTCAGTTCAAGCCTCCAGTCATAACAAGTCAGGAGAAGATTAGTGAGAGACTGCTAGCCAGTTGGGAAAAGGCAAGAGATATCTCTCTTGGGAGAGGAAAACTTGCAGTTAAGGACAGCTTTGCCAAGCAACTGGACCAGTTATTTGACATAATTACTTGCAAGTGCCCAATTGTTCTCTGTCCTGAGTTTGGATGCGATCGTGACTGTAAATCCGAGGCCCACATCTCCTGTGTTTGCAAGCGTGAACTGAAGATTCCTGTGATCGAACTGGCATTTGTCAAAGCACAGAGAGAAGACTGGCAGTATAAGGGCTCTCATGATTTCTAGCCAAGATATTCCGGAGTCCAAGAGACAGGAGGCTGCCACAGAGAGACAGAAGAGGAGAAGAGTTGCCGAGGAAAAGAGACTTGAGAACGCCCAGGGTGAGGTAAAAAAGGCCGATGATTGGAGTCAAGCTGATTCAGAGTTTAATGACTTCCCCATGGCTGATCTGAGTGCTGACCAGGAGAATGGTGACTTTGTCCCTAACCCAGAAAATAATGATCCCAAACCTTCCAGGCATAAGATTCGAAATAGGAAAGATATCCCGGAGATAGCTCACAGCGTGACACCCACACTGGTCTCAGGAGAAACTGCAGAGATAGCAACAGCTGCCTGGATTGACGGTGGTTTGATAACACCTGATGATGTTCACCTGGTGATAGATCATAACAAAGTAAGGTGAGCTCAGGAGAAACTTTGTCAGTAACCTAGAAGAGAGCTGATAAGGGGGATAAGAGAAATGAATCAATTTGTTTGTTCTTTTGATGGAGAAGGATGACACTAAAGTGTTCATGAAAGTTGGAGATTCTGACAAGTTGTTCCCTGCCATGGTGAAGGACGAACACTACTCCTGCTGCAGTGAACCAGGAGGGAAGTATTTGTGGTATTTCACTCCAGAGAAAGATGACATCAGGAAACCAGCTGAGATAGTGGCAGATAACATTGTGAACTGGCTCAGAGAGAGGAACGTAGACCAGACCCTGCAGGCCATTGGAGGGGACAGCACCAACACGAATACAGGGTGGCAAGGGGGGGTCATACAGTGGATAGAGCGGAAGATTGGGAGGAAGCTGGTCTGATTGTTTGTGACCACACCAACGAGTTGCCACTCAGACATCTGATCCAGAGCTGGATGGCAAGACTCTTTCAAACAACAGATGGTCTGGTCCTCTTGGCAAGATGCTGGACTCTGCCACTGAGTTAGAAATAAATCCGAGCTTTGAAAATCACAGTTGGCCTCTCCACCTGCTGAGCTTGTACATACTGTTGCTGACGACCTGAGTACTGACCAGTACTATGGCTACATGATTTGCAGTGCCATCAAAACTGGGGGTCATGCCTGATAGACTTGCTTATCTGCAGATAGGTCCAGTCTCACATTCTAGGTGGCTCACAACGGCTCTCAGGTTCTGCAGAATTTGGTTCGCCCATCATAAACTGAAAGGGAACCAGCTTCACAACTCCCCAGACTTATTGGTCCTATTCATCGTGAGTGTCTACTTGCCAAATTGGTTCAACACCAAGGTCAAGTCATCGTTCTCCGAAGGTCTGAGGCATGTTCTCTTCCAGCTTGAGCTCCTGAGGAGTCAGCCAAGGAAGGTTGTTCAGATTGTGGAGCAGACTGTGAGGAGATCTTTCTGGTATGCTCATCCCGAGGCAGTTCTGCAGACAATGCTCTGCAGTAAGGATGAGGAGGAGAGAAGAGTGGCAGTCAAAAAGATCTTGGATATGAGACTTATGAGAGGATCTGGGCATGACGAATCAGTTGGTGACGATTCCTTCAGGGTCAGGAAGACTCCTGAAGTCAATCTAGGTGCCAAGACCCTCACTGATCTCATAGATCTGGATAACATCCAGGCTGGCAGTGAGCCCCCTCTTACCTGCAGCCTCACCAATGTTCTAGTCAGAGCTTTCCTGGACAACCCCATGCATGTCCCTGCCTGGCCCTTGCACACCCAGAGTATAGAGCGTTGTGTACAGCAAGTGAGCGAGGCCAGCAGTCACGTGTACAGCCAGGAGAGGAGGGGGCCAGCATCCGGAGCTCAGGTGGTCAGCAGGAGGTGATGAGTAGAAACAGAAGCAAGAAAGACATGTTTCTATGGTGTGCAACACCGGTCGTAGTAGTAAAACCGGTTTTTGTATTTGATGATTTTGTTTTCTAAAGGAATATTAAATTTAATAAATGTGTCAAGATCATTCGTTTCACTATTCTGGATCATTTTCATCCTAATAAATTAACCTGATACATTTACTTTACTTTAAATAAGCTATTTAGTGGTGTTGGTAAAAGGGTGGGAATACTGAATTTTCATAAGATTTCAAGTTAAAATTTACCTAGCAAAAAATGAAAACTTTCAAATCTGAAGATATCACATGATTCTGCACATAGAACTACATCATTAATACCATGGGCCGATTTTTCAAACTAAAAAAAAAAAAATCGCCTCCGTATGACACACCCTACTGCACAAGGTTGTGATTGCATTACTGCTAATTTCACAATAGTCCGGTGCTATATGATAACCTTCTACCACTAAATGTTTGCCTACATCCTGATATATAAGTATCACACTGGTTTGATTTGAGAAAAAGAAATATTGCACATTTTTGACATGTGCGTGAAACACTAACCTATGTGGTATTGGAGTGTTTACACATTGTTGTAGAGCTGTAGAGGCATTAGCTTGTAATATAGCTAAATCACATGCAGCCTCAGCAGCCGAGTGAATGCGAAAGCATACGCCGGACAAACATGCAAATGTAAATAAGTTGACTGACAATGATTTAGGACTTCATGCTTAGCCACAGCAACTAATAAAAAAATCCTCTGATACTACTATTAGTTCAGTATGTTTGTTCAGAATTAATAGTCCCTCATTCGCTTTTAGTGGAAATGGTTCCAAATGTCATGCATCAAAATTTTTTTTGTGATTTTAGTGGATGTGTATTAGTATTTCCCTGTGTGTTAATGTTGCTTCTAATAAGGGGGTAATAATATTCCACTTCATGCTCCTGAAAGATAGAAGTTAGACGATATTTAGTTTCAGATATATGCAACGCGGCAATTAGTTGACCAACTGACAACAACTGTGCATCAACATGACCTAAACCTGTATTTACAAGATCAACAATGAGCCTATTACTGGTTTCTATGGAAGATTGTACAGAAGCCTCAGCAGCATGCATGTATTCAGATAAGCAGAGTAGCCATTCCAGTGTAGATTCTGACCGTATGAATCCCTGGACAACTTGTGTTAGTTGATTAGTTTCTTCAACAATAGCATTCATATGAGAGGTCAGAGTTTGTACTGCCTTGTAGGACTGTGCAATGGCCCTATTTTGTTTCTTAACCGCATCTGAAACTGCATTCATTTTATTCCCTAGTTTAGCTACATCTTCGGCGGTTGCCGTACCAAACAAGGTGTTACTTATTAACTCTACAAAATTAAGCAGACCACGTTTTTGACGCCGCTGAGAATGTACATTTTTCCCGATGTCTTCAGGAG